CCAGGGGTGCCCCTCAACATCCTACAATGCACAGAGCAGCACATCCCACAACACACAGCCCTTACAACATGGCATTTTCAAGCCCAAAATGCCAATAGTGCCAAGGCTGAGAAACCCTGCTGTTGGTGGAATGCCCACCACAGTCTCCAGTTTGGCTCTATTATGAATATGGCCACAGTGAATCTTGACTTAGGTGGCTTTTGATGAATATACTGCATTTCTGTTGAGTAAATACTGGAGAATGGAATTTTGAGTCACAGGATATAGATATGCTCGACTTTAGTAGACATTGTTGGTTTTTCAACGTTGTCATACCAATTCACACTCCTCCCTCAGGGCATGAGGATTCCCGTTGCTCCATATCTTCATGAATTAAGTTGGTATTTTCTGCCTTACTTCCTTTCTCTCTCTCTCAATCTCTCTCTCTCTCTTTTTGTTGAGAAAGGGTCTCGCTCTGTCACCCAGGCTGGAGTGCAGTGGCACAATCTGGGCTCACTGCAACATTCATTTCCAAGGCTCAAGCGATTCTCCTGCCTCAGTCTCCCGAGTAGCTCTCTGTCTCTTTTTAAAAATCCTTTTCTTACACCCTTTTCGAATTCAGCTTATGCCCACTACTCAATGCAGCAGTGTTTATTGTTAAATAATTCTGTTCTGTATTTTGTAAAATATGGATTGTGCCTAGATGTGGTTGCTGTGTGTAGTAATTAGAGATGGCGTTTGGGAGATGACTTGTAACCAGGGCTTCTCTCATTTAAAGATAAGCACCAGCTGTTTGTGTATTCATTTTCTCCCACTACTGCCACCAATTAGTTTTCCATAGTAAATTTTGCTGTAGTGGTTAGATTATCCATCATTTGAGTTCATGTTTACAAAGTATTTCCAAATTGTACAGTACTGTTTACCCCATTTTTTGTTTGTTTGTTTGAGATGGAGTTTTGCTCTTGTTGCCTAGGCTGGGGTGCAGTGGCACAATCTGGGCTCTTCCTCCCGGGTTTGAGCAATTTTCCTGTCTCAGCCTCTCTAGTATCTGGGATTACAGGCGCCCACCACCATGCCTGGCTAATTTTTGTATTTTTAGTAGACATGGGGTTTGCTGTGTAAGCCAGGCTGGTCTTGAACTCCTGACCTCAGGTGATCCACCTGCCTTGGCCTACCAAAATGCTGGGATTACAGCCATGAGCCACCACGTCCGGCCTAACATTTTTTTTTTTTCCTTACAATATATTAGTTACAGGGAAAGTAGAGATGGGGTCATTGAGGAAAAAAAAAGTCAAATAATTTTGGTCTCTGGTCCCTTGACTCCCAAACTTTGGTCCTAGGATGAGTACTTTCAGCTTTATCTGGGACCAAAATGCAAATTATTATTATTATTGAGACAGGATCTTGCTTTGTCACCCAGGCTAGAGTGCGGTGGCACCATCATGCCTTACTGCAGCCTTGATCTGCCAAATTCAAGTGATCTTCCCACCTCAGCCTCCCAGGTAGGTGGCATGCACCACTGTGCCTGGCTTTTTAATGGTTTTGTAAAGACAAGGTCTCACTATGTTGCTCAGGCTGGTCCCAAACTCCTGAGCTCAAGTAATCCTCTCTCTCGGCCTCCCGAAAGTGCTGGGATTATAGGTGTGAGCCACCACACTTGTCAGAAATGTAAATTATTAAACTCACCTGGAACCTACTGAACTCTTAGGGCCCTGTAACCTGTATTTCTACAGCTTCTCCAGGTGATGAGATGTAAAAGTAAAGTTTGCAATCCACTGATCAGTACTATCCTTATCCTCAAGCTACAGACACACCCAATATGGCTGACAGTTGTGGAGACCAATGTTTTGGTAACACAATTAATGAGTCAGTCACCCTCCCAGTGTTAAACAATTTCCACAAGTAAATTCAGTGGTAAGTCTTGTCTTGAGGTGTTCATTGGCCATGACCTATTTTTGGCAACTTATTTTTCATTTTCCAAGGCCCCAAATGTCAGGATTTTCATATTTCCAATTGCTAGATGTATGCTAATAGAAGACTGCCCCTAGCCACATGTGCCTTAACATTTGCCTATTTAAATACGTTGTATACAGTCTTTTGCAGGTATTTGCTTGGCATCATTCAGCATCCAGGAAGTGTTTCCATGGTAACTTTGCTGCATCAAAATCAGGTGCAGATTACACCAGCTCACACAGATGGCAAGATCACCTCTGGACTTGCCACCTGGGTCTTTAAAATTCTGCATGTTAAACTTCTTTCCCGCCTCTGAGATGATAATTTATCTTTTTATTTTTAAATTATTATTATTATTTATTAGTATTATTTTTTGAGATGGAGTCTTGCTCTGTTGCCCAGGCTGGAGTGCAATGGTGCGATCTCGGCTCACAGAAACCTTCGCCTCCCAGGTTCAAGAAATTCTCTGCCTCAGCTTCCTGAGTCGCTGGGACTGCTGGTGCCCGCCACCATGCCTGACTAACTTTTGTATTTTTAGTAGAGACGGGGTTTCACCATCTTGGCCAGGCTGGTCTTGAACTCCTGACCTCATGATCCACCCGCCTTGGCCTCCCAAAGTGCTGGGATTACAGGCATGAGCCACCGCGCCTGGCTATTTTTAAATTTTTATTTTTTATTTATTCATCTTTTGAGATGCAGTTTCTCTCCTATCACCCAGACTGGAGTGCAGTGGCGCCATCTTGGCTCACTGCAACCTCTGTCTCCCAGGTTCAAGCAATTCTCGTGCCTCAGCCTTCCGAGTAGCTGGGATTACAGGTGCCCGCCACCAAGCCCGGCTAATTTTTGTATTTTTAGTAGAGATGGGGGTTCCACCATGTCGGCCAGGCTGGTTTCAAACTCCTGACCTCAGGTGATCCTCCCGTCTCGGCCTCCCAAAGTGCTGGGATTACAGGCGTGAGCTACTGCACCCTGCCCGAGATGAGAATTTAAAATAATGCTTTGGGTTCTGTGATCTAGACAACAACTTCTTTTGTTGCTAATTAGATGAATGGTATAGAAAGTAAAATGATTGGGCCTCCAGAGAAGCAGGATTTTCCTCAGGGAATCCAGTTGGAGAATGTCTTTGTTATGGGAGGATTGTTGTTTTAGTTAAAGATGTGCTTTGGAAATGTCTTCTTTCTTCACGTTAGTATCATGATCATTATCGTGTAAAAAAAAAAAAAAAATTTACGGCCAGGCACGGTGGCTCACCCCTGTAATCCCAACACTTTGGGAGGCCGAGGCGGGCGGATCACAAGGTCAAGAGACCGAGACCATCCTGGCCAACATGGTGAAACCCCGTCTCTACTAAAAATACAAAAATTAGCTGGGCGTGGTGGCATGCACCTGTAGTTCCAGCTACTAGGGAGGCTGAGGCAGGAGAATTGCTTGAATCCGGGAGGCAGAGGTTACTGTGAGCCGAGATCATGCCACTGCACTCCAGCCTGCCAATAAAGCAAGACTCCATCTCAAAAAAAAAAAAAAAAAAAAAAAATGTATAAACCACCTGGCCACCCAGAACAGAATTACAGTCAGCACTCTGTTTCCTCAGGTCCTGAATCCTTAGATTCAACCATCCTCAGCACTGTTTCCCCAGGTCCTAAATCCTTGGATTCACCCAACCTCAGCATTGTTTTCCCAGGTCCTGAATCCTCGGATTCAACCTTGGGCGGGGAAAAGAATGGTTGCTTCTCTACTGAACATGTACAGGCTTTTTACAGGCTTTTTTTTTTTTTCTCTTGGCATTATTCCCTAAGGAATATAGCATAACAACTGTTTACACAGCATTTACATTGTATTCGGTATTATAAGTAATTTAGAGATGATTTAAAGTACAAGAAAGGCTGTGAATAGGTTATATGCAAATACTACATCATGTTATATCAGGGACTTATACATCTGTGGACTTTGGTATCCTCAGAGGTCCTCCAAGGGATGACTGTACTTAACAGGTTCTCCAAAATGAAGATTCTCTACTTTTCCATGTCTTACTCTTAGGTTGGGGAAAAAACAAATCCCTGTATTTTAAAATTAAGAATGAATCCCTGAGTCATTTGACTTTCTTCAATAACAAAGCAAACCACATAAAAATACCCTTCCAAGGAAAGCCATCAGAATGGATACAATCTCAGCCCATTTACCTAACCTTTCTGCCAGTGCAGCTGAGCCTCTCGACACGACTTTAACAAACTCTCTCAGAGCCAGTCTTCTCAGTGCCATCTTTGCTTTCATTTAACTTTACATGTCTAGTGTTGCTGCTTAAACCTGTGTCCCCTCAAGTCCTTTCCCAACTAAAGGATGGTGGTTATTTGACAATAGACAAACAAGTCTCAGAACAATTATGAGGGTGTAATGAAGTTTGCATTCGTACATGTAATTAAATAGAGGAAAGATGCATGAGCGAATGTGGACACAATCCTCCTCCAGCTGGCACGCCTTGCCTGGAGGTGCTCCTCTGGCAAGGAGATGAAGTCCCAGATTTTTAGTGCATTATGCAAGGTTGTTTCCACCTCCCTCACTGGTTGACTTAACCTGGCAGGTAGCAAACTCTTAGTTTTGTCTGCCTCCAACTCAGCTTTCCCCAGGTCTTTCGCACCTTGACCTTCAGATGGGAAGCCAAGAGGTGCTGAGCACATGGAGGAGGCAATCTTTCCCCCCTTTGATTATGATTATTTTAATTCATTGAGATTCTAAGTCCTCTGTCATTTCAAAGAAAGGATACTGTCTTCACTTTGGAGCTATGTTCTACATATCATCCTAAGTGATCTACAATCATTAAATACGCTGGGCATGGTGGCTCATGCCTGTAATCCCAGCACTTTGGGAGGCCAAGGTGGGTGGATCGCTTGAGCCCAAGAGTTCAAGACCAGCTTGGCCAACATGGCGAAATCCCATCTCTTTTAAATACAAAAATTAGCTGGGCGTGGTGGCACATGCCTGTAATCCCAGCTACTTGTGAGGCTGAGGCAGGAGGATTGCTTGAGCCCAGGAGGTCAAGGCTGCAGTGAGACGTGATGGCGCCACTGCACTGCAGCCTGGGTGACAGAGTCAGACACTGCCTCAAAGGAAGAAAAAGCAAACATACCTCAAATTATGTCTGCAAAATAAAAGACTTCTGAATGGAACACAGAGAAAGCCTCTAAGATGGCCCCAGGGGAGTGTTAACATGTCTAGCCTGATTAATTGGCTAGTTTGGAAATAACTGTATCCAAAGTGAGTGACAAGGCATGGCTGGCTAGTGTCAACTTTGTCCTCAGCTATAGTTAAAGCAGGCTGGGAGGACTGACTTGTTCGGTCTCAGTAGCAAAAAAGTGCATGGTGTCTGGATAAGCAGGTTGTACAGCCTATTAGAAAAGAAAGGTAACAGGTAACAGTCTTCCTCTAATACGATAAGTTATTTTTTTTAAAGTTCTCCTGTCAAGATTTTTTAATACCGGAATCTGAGAGTGGAGAAAATTGGGCCAAGGACAGACAAAAGAGCTGGGAGGAAAATCGACTGTATTTTTCAACACACAAACAATGCCATTTGAAGTACTGGATTGAGTACAGAAGTATCATGAACATTCCTAATTTGGTTAGTGTCTATATTTCTTAATATAGTAATACTATTAATATCTGTCTCCTAAGTTTGTATAAATCCAAACCCCCATGTTATTGGCCAGTTGGAAACAATAATGTAAACAGACTCTGTTGCCCAAATTAAGTTATGTGCACTGAATGCTTTGTCAAACTGTAACTATTTTAATATTCATTCTAGCCACAAGTCTTTGCCAAACAAGATCGCTCTTTTGTTTAGGAGTAGAATACACAATAACCTAATATTTAAAAGTATTATTCAGAAGAAGAACAGCTTGGGATTGAATTTTTCTTTATCATAAATTTTAGATCATTCTCTTTGCTCTACTCCATAGAAGACACTAAGAATTAGATGGATCTGCTTCCTCATTTTATTGTTTTCTACTTGATCTAAAAATCCAGAGGTGGGTTATATAGAGAGTTTATTCAGGAGACTTTGGTAAGGGAGGGAGAAAAATAATGTACAAGCTGGAAACTCATGAAAAATGTAAACAATGAGAGCTAGAAGAATGGAAGCGACAGTGTGCTCAGGAAATGATGTGTCATTCTGTCGGAGTTCAGGGTGCCCTGAATCCCATGAGAGTAGCACTGGCTTTCCTGCCCATTGTGAAGGCAAGGAATCCGTGTGTTGTCCTATCAATTCCATTCATGGCAGGGTAGAGAATTTTCAAATGGAAGAAAATGTGCATTAAAGGACATTCTTTCTTCGTGGGGTGGGGTAGTGAAGGTGTTGGGGTTGAGGCACTGAGTTGTTTAGGTCAGGTAAACAGTGAGGGGAAATGGGCAGGCAGTCAATGGTTAAGTTGGTGTTTTGCAAGCCATTTCAAGAGGATACCACATAAAATGCATTCATCTACATTTCATTAAAAATTAGTTGGTGGGAAAGTGGAAAGCTGAAGGCAAGAACCTTCCAAGTAAAACAGCTTGATACTTACTCCTTGGCCAGAACACCACTATATTTACAAATAGGGGATAACAACATTCACTTCCTAGGGGGTCCATAAGCTTAACTGGGCAGGCATATGACACTTCTGAGCATTCAATGTCATGATGGATTTTTAGGTCAAGTAGAAAACAAGAAAATGAGAAAGCGGATCAATCTAATTCTTAGTGCCTTCTATGGAGTAGAGCAAAGAGAATGATCTAAAATTTATGATAAAGAAAAATCCAGTCCCAAGCTGTTCTTCCGAATAATGCTTTTAAATATTAGGTTGTTGCGTATTCTACTCCTAAAGAAAAATGATGCTCCCCTGTCTGAGCATCATTTATGACCAAGATTGAAATGATTTCCCATGAAGTTCTAAGGTCTCATCTAACTCAGTGGATGTAGCTCACGACTTGTTCGTTTGACCCCAGTATTCTAATACAAACACCACAGCCGATGCTGGAAGTGAGAGGAGAGGGGCTCGTTTCAGTGTGGAGCCCAAGGTGCCCCAGCAATTTCAGACCCCCTGGGACAGGAACTCCTCCTCCAGTAAGCTCTTGTTTTGAAAAACAGTGGGGTGGGGCAAAAAAGCATTACAATGGAGCTGGGGTGGATGAGGCTTTCTTCTATTTGAGATGTCGCTTGTGTCAGGTTTCATGAAACAGCGCATTGGAAAACAGAAGCTATTTTCTATCCCGTGGGTTGCGCTGGAAGAGCCGAGAGGCCAGGCTGTGGATCCTTGCCACGAACAACAAGAGAGGGCAAGTCCAGCCGCCTGCTAGGGCACTAGCAGGAAGCAGCACGCCTGCCAGAGCTCATCACTTCAACTCTGGCTTTCACTGCGCTCATTCCCTGAATGGCAATAACCAGGGGGCGGGAGTGGCATGGGAAATGAAAGGCAAGAGATCTGGGAAACTAAATCTGCCGGGGGGAAAGAGAGTTACCGGAGTTTTAGCCAAACAGCTAGCAGATGCAAACGGGGAGGCAGAGGGAGGAGGGAAGGCTGGGCTTCAGCAACCTGCCACGGGGATTTAAACAAAGGAGGTTTGAGAGAGAGGCGGGATCTGGCTGTAATATCGGCACGGGGACAGAGACAGCAGCTGGACTCGCGGGATGAAGCGGAATCAATTCCCAGCGTCTGCAACAGGGCAGGAGTGACTGGAGTATGTCCCAAAATAAGAACTCAGGGAAACGAGTGAGTTTGGAACAAAGACTTACAGATTGTGACGGTCTCTGACATTTCACCCTTCTTTGAGGCATGCCTTTATCAATGCGTTACCTCTTTGTAATTTCTGTCTCTAGTGTAATTATTTTTATCGTCTTCTCTGTGTTCAATTTTGGGGGAGATCAAAGCTTCCAGAGGCTAAATATCTCAGACCCTTTGATGCTGACTCAAGTTTGCACATCTTTTATCAATGGAAAAACACGTTTCCTGTGGAAAAACAAACTAATGATCCATGAGAAGTCTTCTTGCAAGGAATACTTGACCCACAGCCACTACATCACAGCCCCTTTATCTAAGGAAGAAGATGACTTTCCCTTGGCGTATATAATGGTCATCCATCATCACTTTGACACCTTTGCAAGGCTCTTCAGGGCTATTTACATGCCCCAAAATATCTACTGTATTCATGTGGATGAAAAAGCAACAACCGAATTTAAAGATGCGGTGGAGCAACTATTGAGCTGCTTCCCAAACGCTTTTCTGGCTTCCAAGATGGAACCGGTTGTCTATGGTGGGATCTCCAGGCTCCAGGCTGACCTGAACTGCATCAAAGATCTTTCTGCCTTGGAGGTCTCATGGAAGTACGTTATCAACACCTGTGGGCAAGACTTCCCCCTGAAAACCAACAAGGAAATAGTTCAGTATCTGAAAGGATTTAAAGGTAAAAATATCACCCCAGGGGTGCTGCCCCCAGCTCATGCAATTGGACGGACTAAATATGTCCACCAAGAGCACCTGGGCAAAGAGCTTTCATATGTGATAAGAACAACAGCGTTGAAACCACCTCCCCCCCATAATCTCACGATTTACTTTGGCTCTGCCTATGTGGCTCTGTCAAGAGAGTTTGCCAACTTTGTTCTGCATGACCCACGGGCTGTTGCTTTGCTCCAGTGGTCCAAGGACACTTTCAGTCCTGATGAGCATTTCTGGGTGACACTCAATAGGATTCCAGGTACGTACAACTCCGTATTTCACGAAAAGAAATGTGTCATATTTGAAAGGTCTTTAGAATAACCAGCCACTTTTTATTAGGAAGTAGAAGATGAAAACCGGAATGAATATATGTAGTTCTCACTCTAGTCCTTTCTAAATGCGGAAGATGTTCTTTTTTTTTTTTTTTTTTTTTTCTTTTTTTGAGACAGGGTCTCGCTCTGTGGCCCAAGCTGGAGTGCAGGTGCGCCATCACAGCTCACTGAAGCCTGGAGCTCCTAGTCTCAAGTAATCCTCCCACCTCAGCCTCCTGAGTAGCTAGGACTACAAGTGCACACCACCACGCTAGGCTAATTTTTTAAGAAATTTTTGTGGAGACAGGGTCTCGTTATGTTGCCCAGGCTGGTCTCCAACTCCACAGCTCAAGCTATCCTCCCCGCCTTGGCCTCCCAAAGTGCTGGGTTTATAGGCAGGAGCCACCATGCCTGGCCCAGAATGATGTTCTTTATGTGATAATTCACATGTTCTAGCACTACTAAGTAATACCTTTCCATGGTATCACTCTGTGGTCCGTTAAGTTCTTTTGCACACATCATCGTATTACATCTTTACCACAATAGCTATTAGTCCACACTGCTGTTCTTTCTTTCCCCTAAATTTGTCAAGTTTGCTCTTACCCCAGGATCTTTGCCTTGGCCACCCTCCTGCTTACTCCAGGCCTCCACAGCCTCCTCCCCCTTAGCCAGATCTCAGCTTTCAGGTGTCAGCAGTGCTGATACTCCCCCTCATTGACCAGCACACCACCCTGCTTTTCCTTTAAAGAGTTTTTCCGCCGTGCGGAATTAGGATATTTACCTATTTGCATGGGTTTGTTCTAGGTCTTCTCTGCATTTGTTCCATGAAGCCAGGGTTATTTTCTATCTCATTAACTGCTCCTCAGTGCTTAGAACAGAGAGTAAATGCTCAATAAGTATATACGAGATGAATAAATGAGTGAGTGAGTGAATGAATGGTAAAGCATGAGGCTTTACTATGGCACCAGAGCTGTCTCCCTAAGACACTGTTCAGCTGAGAAATATTTGGACTCATGCATGTGCCATTTTATATGTGTAGCATTTTTAAAAATACATTTTATTTCAGATAAAATAATGAGATTCTAGGAGAAACTCTTGGCTTTCTCATCCGAATTTTCCTATCTTTACTAATTTACCAGACCGATTGTTTTTTAAAGTGTATAAAACATGATAGGATTTCTTCTGAAGGAAACAACGTGCTTTGGACTCAATGAAAAATACAAAATGGATCTCTGATGAACTAGACAGCATTATTATAGCAAGAGAAAAGCAATCATTGTTCTGGCTGTTGGGGGGTTGCCAACTTGGAAAGGCTGGTAGGTGCTCTCAGGCTGCAGGGCAGGGCCTGCTGGGCAATAAACACGCCAGCATTCTCTGGAAAATACCATGGCTGGTGTCTGAATCCCAGAGTGGCTTGTCTGGTGAAGGGGGCTCACTTGTACGCTGCGCACACTCTTTCCGCGCCTGCCCCTCCCTGGGTTCATCCTCTCTTCGCTCTTGATCTGTTGTTTCTACCATTTGCATATCATTGAGGAGAATTAGGTACTTAGGAGCTGATTTTCATATTTAAATATTCCCTTTCTATTTTCATTCTTTCTTTAAAATTCATAAAAATTGGGTCCCAGTCAAGTGGTTCCATAAGTATTGTGCTGAGATGAGGGCATTTCGTAAGTTAACAAAAGTCTGAACTGTTGCTTTTTTTTTTTTAAGAAAAACATGGGTTTTGGTTTCTAATAAATGTAAATATTTGTGGTTACTTTGCCAGAAGCCTGGTCAGTTTTATCAATGTCAAATAATACAAGAAAATCAAGGGAAAAAGAATTCCCCTTTTTTCCTTACCCCTTTCTGATCTCTTGGGAGACCAAAAGAATGATATCTGGATAGGTATAGGAGAGAATGCTATCTAGATGGGTAGAGGAGAGAATGACATCTAGATAGGTAGAGGAGAGAATGGTATCTAGATGGGTATAGGAGAGAGCACCTTGTTTGCTGTAGGTTTATGCCATGGCATGCTGGCTTCTGCCTTCTCACTGCAACAGTATGACCCCATGTAAATCACAGAACCTCATGGGACCTCAAATCTCTCCAGCTACAAAATGGGGAACCCAGGTAGAAAGACCCCTTTCATTCCTACACATACCTTTCTTTGCAGAAGACACAATGTCTAGAACAATGTAAAGACCTTGCACGCTGCTACTAGGAATCTGTAGAGAAAGGCGGAAGTGCTGGTGAGCCTGGATCATGTACTGCCCACCAGCTTTGGGAAGTGCATCCCATTTCCCTTGCAGAAATCGGAGGCGAGAGCTCCTCCAGAGAGCAACTGCCTGGAGAGAAAGGCCAGTACGGCCCATGTCAGTGGTCTGTCGTGTCTGATTCTGCAAGACATGCCTTTCAGGATAACGTGCTATGTCCTGGGGCTTTGTCTCTTTCCTTTCTTAGACTCTGGGCAACATCCTGGTTCAGGGAGAAAGGATATCCTGCTTCTAGGTAGGGCCTTCACAAATTACAAGTGAATTACAGCAAACAAATCTTCAAATGCTCTAGCCAGAGCGGTGCCTCTCTCTACCTTCAAAGGCAATGGAAAATCTAATCCCACGCTCGAGTAACTCTCATGGTTTTACACTTGAGCATTCTTTGTGATTTAAGATTTGGCATGTGAATCTGGTTCTTATATAACCACACAGCCTTTAATCAATATCAGCTCTTCTGTTTTCTCTTTTTGGAGACAGAGTCTCACTCTATAGCCCAGGCTAGAGTGCAGTGGTGCGATCTCGGCTCACTGCAACCTCTGCCTCCCGGACTCAAGTGATTCTCGTGCCTCAGCCTCCTGAGTAGCTGGGATTATAGGCCTCCACCACCATACCCGTTTAATTTTTTTGTATTTTAATAGAAACGGGGTTTCACCGTGTTGCCCAGGGTAGTCTCGAGTTCCTGAGCTCAGGCGATCTGCCCACCTCAGCCTCCCAAAGTGCTGGGATTACAGGCGGGAGCCACCGCGCCAGGCCGAGCTCTTCTATTTTCAATGTCATGGTTTAAGGGGAAACATTCTTCTGTACGTACAGCGTAAACATATTTTTGCCAACTTGCACGTGCAGGCGGTGCTGTCCATTTCTTCCTCAAAGCGACCGCCTCCCTTTCTCCGAAACACCTTAAATTAAAATGTGTTAGCAAGATCCTGTGCAGGCATTTCAGGTTTCCCAAAACACCCCCAAGAGCAACATGACCAAGAAAATGATTAGTACCCTAGATTAGATAGTTTCAGAAAACAAAGTGAAAATCGGTTCGAATTGGCGAGACTGAAGAGAAGGGATATTCATAGAAGTAGCACTAAATCACAGAGCTTCACACTGCCTTTTTTTTTTCTTGGTGCCTTTCAACTGAGAGTGACTTCTCTTTTGGTTTTCAACCATTAGGCTCCCTCCACACTGTTAGAAATGGTGATGGAACAGGCCAGAAAGAGGTCTTTAGGGGCCCCAGTCTCACACTCCTCTTCAGGGGAAGCCGGTAGAGTGGCTGTCCTTCTGTTCTGTGTGGCTAGTGCACAGATGGGGTGTCCAGCTGCCTCCTTTCTGGCCACATTCTCAAAGGAAATTCTCCAGGATCACAGATTTCTCCAACCCACCCTACAGAGCATCAGGCTGTGACAGCAGTAACTTCCCCTGACTTCCGGTGTGCCCTTATGTTTTGTAACATCTCTGATCTTTGTAATGATTGCTCTAAGTCACTTTAAGAAGAGCCCATGTGCTCTAGCTCTTCTGGCTATTCTTTCAGCATTTTCTTTTTTTTTTCTTTCTTTTTTTTTTTTTTGTTCTGAGACGGAGTTTCACACTTCCTGCCCAGGCTGGAGTTCAGTGGCGAGATCTCGGGTCACTGCAACCTCCACCTCCCTGGTTCAAGTGATTCTCCTGCCTCCTGAGTAGCTGGGATTACAGGCGTAAGCCACCACGCCTGGCTAATTTTGTATTTTTAGTAGAGACGGGGTTTCTCCATGTTGGTCAGGCTGGTCTCGAACTCCCGACCTGAGGTGATCTGCCCACCTCGGCCTCCCAAAGTGTTGGGATTATAGGTGTGAGCCACTGCGCCCGGCTTTTCCAGCATTTTCATCTGCCTACCTTCCCCAAGGCAGAGCACCTGAAGCCATTTAGATTTTTGCTTTACGCTTTGTGAAATTGTTCAGCATGTACCCAAGTGGCAGCTGGTTGATCTTCTTCACAGTCCGTTCCCATGGCTAGATTGTCTTCTTACACTTCGGCGTGGTTTTGTCTCTAAGGAACAGAGCTACCCCACTCTGGCTTCAGTTCCCTTGTTTCCCTCACTGCACTAAGTGTGTTTTTGGAGTCTGCTCATTCATTACTCTGACCTTTCTCATGCCATGATCTTTTTCCTCCATAAGAATGTTTTCATTTGTCTCGTTTCCTTTTTCCATTTTGTATACGTTTTCTTTTTTTTTTCAGAGCCCCTTTGTCAAATTCTCTCGACCTCAGAAGGGACCACATGATCCCATTTCCTTATTTTTTAATTCTAAAAATACCGCGTTTCCTACTTTGATTTATTTTGCTTTTTTAACTGTGACTTTTATTTATATGCGCACATTCTTTGGGAGGGTGTTAGGACTCTTTCAGCTGCAAGTGTCAGAAACTCAAGTCAAAGGAACTTAAATAAGCATCAGAAGTTACTGGGTCACATATCTGAGATGCCCAAGTGAGCTCCCAGTCAAGCTGGATCAGTGAGTGAAACTGTGTGCTCAGGACCCTTTCTTGCTAGGTCGTCTCCCTGTGGAGTGACCAACTGTCCCTGTTTGCCCAGGTCTGAGGGGCGGTCCTGGGCATGGGCCCTTGATGGGTACAGCCAGGTCGAGATGGTCCCTCTATCTCTCTGCATCTCTGTGCTGGCTTCCATCACGCAAGTTCTCTCCGGAAAGCCAGAAGTATCTCCAAGTGTACTTGCT